TCAAGCTCGGCAACGCCCGGCTCCAACTCGACCATGGATTTGTGCTGGACGCGATGGTGCGCTCGGACGGCGCCACGTACCTCTTGGCGACCGCGGTTGCCCTCGCCGATCTTTTGCAGATTCGCGTCTGCCTCGACGCCCTCCTCTCTATCTACATGACCTGCTTGTACCACCGAGAAGCGCTCGTGCATGTCTGCCCATCGTGTGTCTCTGCCAGCGACGCCTTCTTATCGAGCAACTACCTCGCCAGCATCGTCTCGGCGCCGGGCTACGCCATGTCGCTCTGGACGTACCATGCGAACGACGACACGCCCCTCGTCCTCCTGCTCACCGAACTCATGTGGTTTCTCACGGCCGTGCTCCTCGTTATCGTCTACATGATTTGTGTCAAGATGTGGAGCTCGCGGTCGACTCGGCGCGTGCACGCAGAGGTTTTAGGGGTCGTCGCGGTCGCACCACACCGGCGGCCCGCGCTGAAGGACGCGACGCCTCTCGGGCCCCGCATTCGCAGCTGGCGGCGACGCACGCTGACCGAGAACTTTGAGCAGTCGGACGTCCAGCTGCTCGCGTTGACGTACGGTATCATCGCGCCCTTCCACGACGACCCGACCCACGACGGGTTTCTGTCCCCATCGGGCGTCTGGCTCCTCGGGTACTTCATGCTCTGCGACCAGTACCTCGTGGGCATTAGCGACTACCCGTGGCTCTGGCTCAACGTGCTCTGCCGACGCAACGTCGGGCGCGTCTACTGCTTCCGCATCCATCGCGACGGCCACACAAGCGCCAATCTCGAGATGCTGCATTTCCACGCCGTCGACGCCAGCGATCTCATTGCGCGTCTCTCGCTGCGGCACTTGCATTGAACCATCGACGCTCAATAAGATAGGACCGTCGCTACGACACCAAGACGTCCTGGTGCTATGGATCTGCTTCTCTTCTTGGCCCTCTCGCGGCCAATGCGGTGCAAAGTGAAACGGCAATGTCGGCCTTTCCGGTCGTCTATCGTTGTGCAGGTTGGTGGCGGACGCCTCGTCCTCGATCTCGTACAATGAATACTCAGCGGATGAAAGGAATGGGTTCCGATGTCGCC